TCCGCTAGATTACGGGACCTGGATATTATTATTATACCATACTATACCAGTATAATTCAGTCGGGTTTAATTACAATTAGCGACAACAATTCGCGTTTTTGCATTGTTAGCTGGGAACATCGAGGGTCGAAAGTAAATTATGTAGTTTTAATTGCAATGAATAGTTAGCCAGTAAAACAATTAAGTTTAATATAACAAAAATATTTTGCTCTCATGTATTCGTGGATTAGTGTCGTGCAGAATATTCTATATTTATTATAATATTAATCTGAGTTTTTGTTAATTTTATTATTCAAATCGTCCATGTGCTTTTAATATTATTAACATTAGTCTAAATTCGGTAATATTTGTTGTGGTGGACGTACATTCTAGTTTGGACAGCCTACTTTATACAAACAACAAAATGGTTGGGCGCATGAATGAGGTCTAACCATCTGTGGGTTATTGGCAGCGCACTTAGGATTACAGGTGAACGCCATAAGCAGAGAATACCGGTGCCCAGAGGTGACCCTCTCGACGGAGTGCTCGTTCTCTGAGCCCGATGTGAACGCCGCCAGACGTCCCAACTTAGGCTCAATAGTTTGGTTCGATATCTGGTCCGTGAATATAAAGCGTCCGCCCGTGAAGTCCGCGCCATATGTCGACAAATACAACAATGAACTGAAGGAATAGCACTTAACATTGCGTTTGTCGACGTGTCGGACCCAATACTTTTCCTCTTTGGTTTGGGCTCTCTTTGGAGTCTTTCTCGCGAAGAACGTCGGATCAGTTAAGTACAGCTGACCAGAAGGGACGCCAAAATGATTTGCAATCGTTTTGCGGACTTTGTTCGTTACCTTTCTGTAGACTTCTACGTCTTTTTCGGTGAACACCTCTTCATTTTGTTGTCGACGTTCAATGAGTTTATAGATATTCACGTAATTCGTTTCCATTGACAGAAGGCCCGCATGTAAGTCGAGGATAGAGGCGCCACCCGAAGAGCCGCCCAATGATAGGCCTCTCTTCGCCACTGACAACAAGTGTTTGGCATCCGTTTCCGTGACCACCGAATCGGACACAAAACGTCCGCATCTTTGAGGACCGCAAGACGGGAACCGAACTCTGTCTTCGGTATAGTCTTGAGAACACATCACTTGTCGTGCGATCGGTGAACCCCTTATGGATTGAGTGACGGAAGCCATCACTAGTTCTTTGGTGTCATTTGATTGAGTCGTGTAGTAGTAAACCATCGCAAGAATAGCCATCGAGAGTGCCATTAGACTCATCACTCTCTTCATAATACTCTGGTTTTGAGTGCTTTCGGGCGACACTTCTTGAGACACCACTCGAGACGACACGTTATCCTCATTTGTGTCGCCATTCCTATTGACAACTCTTTTACGTCGATTGAATCCATCCTAAGACATTGTGTTACCAATGAATTGATAATCCAATTAAATATCACTGACAGTACAGAAAACAGATCAGTCCTGAGTCCAGATGTGTCCAGATGTACCTTTCACAAATATTGTTACATTTTTGGTCATTTATAGTATGGGTTAACAAGTATATGTAATTAAAAATATGGTTTACTACAAGTTTGATGACAAATGTCTACCCCAAGAACAATGTAACTATATTTGTGATAGGTACATCTGACACATCTGGGTATTGTCAGGTGGTAGTTTTCCAAAGAATTTGGGAATTCTGTGGATTTAAACACATATTATGAGTTGTAAACATTGTTTTAAATATTAGAAACAGATAAAAAGTAAACCCTCATAAATAACTCTTATTAGTTATTGTATATTATTAATTACTATTTAAAATGAATTTCCTTTAACTTGTATGATTAAGATTTATGTATAAGATAAGAAATAAAAATTAAGCTAAACTTGATACATTTATAACATAGTATAGTTTTTAGATTTATAAGTAATAATTTAGTAATTTAGTAAATCACATGAATCGTCTAAACTTTAAGAGTTGATTATTAAAAACTTATTCTAGGAACTAAACATTAATACAAATAAAAGGGAAAACACTTTATTATAGTTTAAAGAGTTGGGTCCAACTTCTTAAGCAGTGGTTCCATAGTCTGCTGCCACACCTCATAACCCCTCTCATTGAGATGTAGTTTGTCGTTCAGGTAGAGCTCTGTGTGTTGTTTGCCATCCGTCCCATAGGCTGACCACATGTCCAGGAAGAAGACGTTTTTATCGTTATTCAATTTCGCGATCAATTCATTGACTTGTTTCACTTTAGCACCCAATGGCTCAGGTCTGGGCACTATTCCCAACAGAATAATCTTAGTGTTTGGCATTTTGCCCAACAATTGCTTCACCGTTTCGTTAACTCCATGCGCGATGTCCTCAACCGTATTGGCGCCGGCATTGTTTAAGCCTTTCATTTTGTAATTTATTTAATAAATAATTCATATTTTAAACTTAGATTATATATCTGATCTTGGAAAGCAAATTCAGGATTATCTATAGGATATGAATTTAAATATTTTTCATTGCTTTCGAGTAAAGTATAAAAACTTAATAAAGTTTAATATAAGTAGCATGCATTGTATATTGAATGATAAGTATTTATTCAAATATAAAAATAGTCATAAACTTAGTTATGTACAATGTATGCGACTTATATTAAACTTTTATTAAGTTTTATACTTTACTCGAAAGCAATGAAAAATATATAAATTCATATGCTATATATAATCCTGAATTTGCTTTCCAAGACCAGATATGTTTACAAACCAATCATGAGAATAGTGACTCTGGGGTCGACTCCATTAAATTCATTGTTTTGAATTCTGTAGATCACGTGTTGAGTCTGATCGCCACCGATGCCGTAATTGAAAGCGTGTCGAGGGGTATAGTATTTGGCCCAAACAGCCTTTCCATTGCGACCCCAGAACTCAGTGATTGAATCGCCGACAAACACCATCTGTTCTTCGGTCTTATGCTGAAGAGTTTGGTTCACCAAAGCCTCGTGCCTTTGAAGCCAACCCGCAGCCCCTGGTTGTGGGTCCCAGGGATGGTGTTTGGGCCGATATTCCCAATACTAAAACCGATACAACTATTAATGACAGCATAATTGTAGTATAGATTTCTAGTAAATAGAAGTGTGGACAGCCTATTCTACTTTAGTCGTGTAGTAGTAAACCATCGCAAGGATAACCACCGAGAGTGCCATTAGACTCATCACTCGCTTTATAATACTCTGGTTTTGTGTGCTTCCGGGCGACACTTCTTGTGACACCACTCGAGACGACACGTTCTCCTCATTTGTGTCGCCATTCCTATTGACAACTCTTTTACGTCGATTGAGTCCATCCGAAGACATTGTGTGACCAATGAATTGATAATCCAATCAAATATTACTGAAAGTACAGAAAACAGATCAGTCCTGAGTCCAGATGTGTCCCATGTACCTTTCACAAATATTATTACATTTTTGGGATCATTTATGTGTTAAAAAGTGTATGTAAAAAAATATGGTTTACTACAAGATATATGACAAATTTTTAACCCATAGCCAACCACAAGAAATGTAACTACAATATTGTATATTTGTGAAAGGTGCATCTGACACACCTGGGTATTGCTTAACAAATACGACAATGAAATGAAAAACACATAATGATCCTATAACTCGCATTTTAACCGCGCAAATGGGAGTGAAAATTGGCACATTTTCCACCAATAGGATTGTTTAAAGTATAATTAATTAATATTTCGTCCAAAATATACGCCATTACTGCGAGTAAAGTGTTACAAACCAAATATATTACCAAAATCTCATTGACTTAAACTAATTAAATAGCCCTGCTAATATAAATCTACTAAACAATACCGTACTCTAGATATACCGCAATAATGAGCGCTTTACTAAACTCTATGCTAATACTCACACTCTTGGCGATAATATACACGGATCACGTGGCCGGGCAGGGGGTGGCCTACCGGGTGAAAAGGAAAACCAAAAATGACAAAACTCATTGTACGAGCCTGGTGAATGATAACGATTGGAATAACCTAGGTATAAGGTTGTCGGAGGTGAAAAAGGGGAGCGATTGTGTGAGTACCGCGACCACCGAGTTGAGTAACAAGTTGGTGGGGGTCGGGTGCGAGCGGACCTTTATTAGCTGCCTGGCCGACGAGGTGTGCTCCCCGAGCGCCATAACCGATGCCAAGGGCATTGCCTTGCTCATCAAAGTGAGGTCAACCAGCAAGAAAAACGCCTCCTATATCCGGAAATGTCAGTCAAAAGTCAAAAGTTGATGAAAAATAAATTGATTTATAAAATACTGTAACTTAATATGAAATAAAAAGTTAACTTGTTAAATTAAAATGACAGGAATTTGCGATTAAAAAATCTGGTACTAGAGTTGTGGACATGGATGTGACACTTGTATTATATTTTGCATCATATAATAATTAGATTTATTTTTGTAAATATTAATATAATCAAATAAGCTGTTAGTAAAACCTTGAATAAAAATTATAAATTATGTGATATCATTATAAACTGTATCGTTTTTACTTTACAATGTAAAGTTTACGTAATACAGTAATAATATTTATTTAAAACAATATTAAAGTTTTTCAAACATTAAAAATGAGTTTAATTTTAAAATGCTGTAATTTAATATCGAGTGAAAAGTAATGTTTAATTAAAATGATAGGAATTTGCAATTTAAAAATCTGGTACTAGAGTTGTGGACATGGATGTGCCAGTTATGTGATGAGATCCCATTAGAGGGAAATACATGTCTCGTAGGATTCAAACCTACACTCAATTATCAATCGTACGGTATATCATAACTAATAATATTTTCGCACTTTTTTAGTAAGTCAATTTAAACACTATTGAGAGATACTGAGAGCACGGGTAGCTTTACATATCCTTATTCCTGTAGAGCGATGACGTTACCCATCACTAGCACCGACTGTTATCGGGTGTTGAGCGCCGCGATGTAGTCCTCCGGTGTCTGTCTGTCTGTTTGTCGAACTCCAGGCGCCACTTCTCCATCGCCTCCGTCTTAAGTCAATCCGATCGCAGATTTACTCTCTTCTCGCACTCCTTCACCTCCGCCTCCTTTTCCCTTAACCCTATTGTTGGGGGTGGGGGTGCTAAACGTGGTACTATATAATAACTCTCATTATTTACTTCACAAATGTGACCGATAATTGGCAAACTGTCCCCCAATAGGATTGTATAGAATATAATTATATGTAATCTAAGATTTTAATTAATTAATATTTTTGCCACAAAAACATTTCCACTAAAACTCTCCATTACTTCGAGTGTGCGATACAACCAAAAAAGGATTTCCACTACACTATCATCCCTGTAGTAAACTTAGTAAACAATCTTGCTCATTCATATCTATTAAACACTCGTACTACTCTACTCAGACACTGTAATAATGAGTGCCATGCTCAACTATATGATGATAATCACGCTGATTGGGCTAATAAACGTGGACCACATGGCCGTCCAGGGAGGCGGGAAGCCGTAAGCCAAAAGCACGCCGGGCCCGGGCTTGTGTATGGCTAAGCTGGGCGATAGTGGGCGCAATGAACTCGCAAACAATGTGAACCAGGTGAAATCGAAAATGGGGGGATAATCTCAATAACCTCAGAAAGTGTGAACACGATGCCAGGGATAAGCTAAAGGACCCGTTGCTGAGAGTCGGGTGCGTACTGTCTTACATAGACTGCCTCACCCGGAGCCTATGCCAGATAAAAAACGATATTAAGTTCCTGCTCAAACTTCAGGCCAAGGGCAAGCCCAAGCCATCATACTGCTCGTAAATACCACCGGAGGGGTAATCTGGTGACCGTTTTTTGTATTGCCTATACTACCGTGTTACTTTATTTGTATTTGAAAGAAATCATACATTAATTTATTTATAATTGTTTTAATTTTTATTCTCATACTTATTATGTGATACTAGTATTGAATGAGATGTTAATTACAAATATGATACAAAAACATATGTTTTATTCAATAAGTTTATTAAGCATTCCGACTACTGTAGTTTGTCTTGAAATTATTGTTAAATTGTAATTTAATTCTTGAATAAACTATACCTTAAATAATAAATAATTATGCAAATAAATTATTATGATATACAAACATTTACATAATTATTATAGTGAATGTTAATTAGATATTTTAATATAATAATAATATAAAATATATGGCCTATTCTACTCTATCTATTCTAAATAACTATCATTTATATACTGTATACCTATACTATATGCCTTATTTGAAAATTATTTTTTAAGTTTCTATAAATCTATGAAAAATATATCCATATAACTTATATAGAAATGTCATAAATATATAATTTATATCGAGATGTCTATAATGACTGGTATTTTAAGACACTTTTAAACCAATTTTTGTTTTCTCGAGTCGATTGTGATGTACGTGTGAATGACTTTTCTATGTCTACCGAAGCCATTGTCAAAATATGCCTGATCATATATTATGATTATTAAGATATATGTAGAATGTTATTTTATAAAGTCAAAATAAATGATAATAAACATGTCAAATTATATCTACAGAATTGTTTATTTACTCGTAAAATGGATTTTTGATTAGGAAAATGGTGCAGGCTATTATTTGCTTATTAATTGTGAAATATTTTAAAATTAATAGTGAAAAGCAAATTGGGAGTTCAAAGTATTAAATGTGCAAGAATATATACATGTTTTATATTCTTAGATAATACTCAGGTACAGTTTGTTTGGAAATTTATTTATGTAAAAATTATTTTCATAATTTAACTCTAAATTAAGATTTTAGTTATAAATAATTAAATAATTGACTATCAGTTAAGTTGGTAAATATTTTTGAAATTATAATTCTCTACTAAAAATCAATATAGAAATGTCTAGAAATTTCACAATTACAGGTGACTTTAAATATGTAAAAATAGTAATGACATTTGTGTTTGTAAAGTACTTTATCTACTGATAATCTATATAAATAAAATTAAATATGTTGTTCATATTTTTTGTAAAATACAACTTTTGAGGTCTCTGCTATAGACTCTAATATAGTAGATTTTGCCATAAATTACTTTATTTTTAATATCTATTATTATAAATTTAATTACAGTATTATTAAAGTTATTATTATACAGTACAGTTCATAATTTTTTACATGTAAAATAATTTATGAATTGATTGTTAGAAAATGTGCTTGTTTATCAATATTATAATCAATACATTACAATGTATGTCGTAAAATGAATTTATATAATAAAATTCATACAATTTATAGCTACCTACTTAAACCCAATCATAATTATAATTTAAAAACTTATTTGATACACAAACATATTATTTTTATCATTTACACAACTAATCGTAAGGTTAATGAAAATAGACTATAAGTTTTGTACAGAATATTCTGTATTCATTTAAATTGTGATTTGAGATGGACTTGTTGTTAATTTTATTATATTTATTAAAACTTAGTCAAAGAATCTTTTGTACAAAATTTAAAATATTTAATCTAATATACACAACATTTAATTAAATATAACAAGACTTAAATTGAAATAAAATTAAATAAATTGAAATTTTATTTAATTTGCTGTTTACTGGTTATAATTTAGTTTCATGTCAATTTCCTATTCCTATTAATTAAATAAAATAAAATAAATTTCAAATAAAATTACAAACAATCAGACATTTATTAAATTTGTTTATAATGTGTACAAATTTTGTGCATATTTAATAGGTTAATTTTTAATAAATTTTTCTAATAATTGTTTTAAAATATAGTTTTATATAATCTTAAATCTAAAATTAATGAGCTTGATGAAATTGACAAAATTAACCACTTTGTGGAACCCATTTAAATAATATCCAGATAGTTTGTTAAATAAAGTAAACTTCCAATTAATTAATGTTAATAATAATCTCATGCAAATTGCTTTAGTATTTATGTTATACTACTGTGTGTTATATTTCAAGACAACTTTCATATAAATCCAGAATTTATTATAAAATTCGTAGAATTAACAAAATAACTGGATTACAAAAAACTACAAAAAAAACTTTTCAAATAGCATTCATACGCTAAACAAAAGTTGTTTCCCAAAAGTTATACAAACTTTTTGTGCCATAAAGCAAAAAAATACAGCAAAATATGTCGAAATTCGCATAAAATTGTCGCTAATTTTTAATACAAAGAGGTTTCTATCAGTTGTCATACATTTTCGTCTCAATTAAAGTCTTTGTTGAGTATATTTACGTCGACTGAGAGTTTGGCATCGGATCGCACCGTTAGCTCCTATATGTCTATGAGGTTCCGCT